TTGCGATAGTGTCTAACAAATTAAGTCTCCAGGGCTTTCTCTGGCTCCTAACACAACACTTTCTCATTGTAAAACGGATATTTGAGCGCAGGGTGTATTTCTTCTTACCTGTAACGGAAACGTTGCCGACTTGTTCCCTACGTAACCCCTGACAACATGACTCTGGATAGACAAGACCCGACACTCCATTACCGTGGTTTAAAAACACCCGAGAGAGGCTGCGGACTTATTTCAACCTAAAACCAGCATTTAAAGCCGAGCGACACGCTGAAAGTTAGCAAATGAAGAGTACACCATTGAAGGGCACAAGCCGCCGTAATGCTGCTGCTTGTGACAGTTTTTTTCTTCAGGCAGCTGAACGGACACCTAACGTGAGGAGTTCAATGAGTGGAAACAAAAGTGGGAGACGAGAGCTTCGAGGCAGAGAAGAGCTCTTCGAGCGGTAGTTCAGGGGATTTTCGAGTCGCAGTTGTGGTTAAAGGCTAAGTAAGCGGTTAATGTCTTACATGAGTTTTTAATTAGCATAAATCTAGACGGCTTATGAGACTTAAGCTTAAGACTAGTCTGAGAGGAATGCTAATTCTTCTGTCGAACCTCACGAAAGGTTAATAAAATGCTGTTTGGTGAATCTCAAACCACAGTCCCTTTGTCTTGACTGGATATTAAATGATTATTTACATGGTAAAGTGTTGTTAAACTCAAAATAATTAAAACATATTAAGTCATCACATTTTATTGGTTTATACATGCCCTTACTTTTCTAAGTGCTTTACACAAATGCGTTTAAGATGTACATCGTTAGCGGTGCACCGTCTCCAACCATAAATTTCCATGTATGATTGTCAGTTTCCGTTTAAAAAAAGCACTCATGCAAATGTGATAATTTTCAAAGATAAAACATTTGCATATATCATTCCACCATGTTTTTATAGATTAAGTTGTTTTTAGACAAGAAGTATGCCTCTCACATAGTTATAAAATGTGCTGAATGTGATTTTATGTCAGTCTCATCCACAAATGATTGCAAAAATAGTAAAAAAAAAAAAGTATGTTTTTTAAGATAATTCATATTTGCAGTGTATACAAATAATTTGGCTTTATGAAAGATGGACTTGGCAGACCTTAATACATGTCCCATGAGGACCACTTATCGTTACTTTTGAGCTATTTGCTCTTTATGTACGCTTTTCAAAAGTTTCTTGCTAAGCAGCAACTGCGTTTTTGACACTGAGGTTTCTCTGCAGGTTGCTGCATTCCTGTTTAGGAAGAAATAGCAGGAAGTTACATAACAGCCATTACTTGTTCAATAAAATATGCTGACTGCAACTTACTGAGTTTATTATTACTTGTAAATTATCATAAAGTGTAAGTACATACAGTCAGTGTAACTGCAAAGAATTCAAAACTCATCTTGCTGGGATAAAAAACAGAAACATGCAGTGAGTTGTAAAAGTATTTTTTTACTTATGTTAAATCAGGTACTTCTTTGTAAAATAGCATAAGATCAGTCACATTGAATGAAACGAGTCTGTGAACATCAGTTTTCAAGTTTTGCCAAAGATTCTCAGTTGGATTTTGGTCTCATTGTAGCTCCACAGTTCAAAAAGTTCACTCTTTAAATCATTACATCCTTCTTTCACATGTTTCTCTGACTCCTACATGGTTTGTGTGACTTATATGCATGTGGATACAACTGACAGTTATCCTGTAAACAGATTTTTCATGATTATTCCATAGACTAATGCTCTTTTCACCCAATTTGACACTTTAGGTGAATAATGGCTATTCCTTACAGTTATGCTATACTCCTTCCATTTTCAGTTTCACATTTTTGCAAGGCACTGTAAAAATATACATATATTTTTTTTAATACAGTTGTACACCAAATAAAATGTTCATTTAAATCCTGTAGATGAATCCATGTAACCATACACGGATTTTGATGTTATGCAAGGACACATCGTAAAAACAAATAAAAAATTGTTTAACCTTGAATAATAAAAGTTCTTATTGTTTTTCTTAAACCCTAACATATCAATCTGACAGTAGATGTGCATTTAAAATGATCGTAATCAACAAAAAATGTCAGTAACCGCGTCTTCAACTTTTGGCCTCAACATCTGTTGTGTTATGTTTCTGTTCACCACTAGAGGGCGCAGGAGAACCGAGGTACATTGAGCGTTTCAATGAAAAAATTTTTATTTAGCTAAAACTCACACAGAGCTCTAAGTGCGCTGGAATATTTTTTATGCATGTTCATTTCAAGTTGATTACTTTGTAAATAGGAACATTAGTCATGATTTGAAGAAAAGAAACTAGTTTTATTTAAACAAGTCACCCTCTTTCAAAGCAAGAAAGTGTTTTGGTCTTTGTCCTTTATTCAAACACTTAGCCATTGTATGGGTATAGCTGTGATTTCACAATCTCCACTTAAAAATAACATTGAATCATATGGGGTTGTTTAACCTGTTGAAAGAGTATATAAAAACAGATGGGATATTAAAAAGGTAAAAGAAACCTGGAAGTTGTCAATCATGAGTGTTCTGGACTTCTGTTTGTTTCTCATCAGTGAGAGAAAGAATGGAGGTCTTGGTAGGAAATGGGGGAGACTTTAAAGACATGCAGGTGATCATGAATGACCCAAACACAAAGCTTTCTGCCCCCGACACCTGGGTGAGGAGCACAGAGGCCACACAGAGCAGAGAGGGAGCCAGGTGGAGGAGCTGAAAGCTAATCATCAGCAGCATGCCTGCAGGGCAGCTGCAGCACAAAACCTTCACAGAGGCTTGTTAATAACATTTCCCTCACTGTGAACCAATAACTACTGTGTGTCAGTGTATTATTCTTATTCTAGATGCATCTCTGACATTTATGTAAAACAGAAACTAAATTAAACTGCAAATTGCAACCATTTTGGAAATAAATTATGATTTTTTTTTTCAATATGAAAGACAGAATGATTCTATTACGGGCCTGTGCATCACAATCCAAGAAGATTGGAGGATTAAGGTTTATGACGACAGCGCAGAGTAATAATCCCTGTCAGTGTTAAGCAGTTATAGCATCCTCTACTGAGGGTCAGAAGAGGAAACGGGACCCAAAAACGCATTAATTTAATCAAAACAAGGAGAAAAACATGGAAAATAAATCACAAATACATTAAACTTTAAACACAGACATTAAAAGTATTAATTTGCTTTATAGAAACAACACTCGATGAGGCAAAATATTGACTTTTAAACTGCAAAAATAAGAATATTTAATTAAAGTAACAAAAGATTTCTTCAATAATGTCTATTTTATTTATTCAGGTTTTAAAAAGTTTGACTATATAATAAAAATAATTTGTAACGAATGAGATTTAGTAGAAGAAAAAAAAGTAATCTTTTGATAAATAGAGGAGGCTGTTATCTGTAAACACAATGTTACAACCACAACCTTGTAATCTGTTGTTATGTATGCATGGAGAGTAAAATCATATTTATCTTTTTTCCTTTTTAATTGTAACTTGCAAAAACATCTTAAATTACTTAATATAAGGTAATCATGAAGAACTGGATGACAGTTTGATTATTAAGTTAGCTAAAATGTCTTTTTTTACAGTGACTATTCCATGTCAAATTCATTTTAAAAGATGAAGGAATGACACAACATCCAGTCTAACTTTCATGTTGTAAGACAGAATTCAATATTGGATACCATGTGTGTAAAAGAAAGAAAACACTATGTATTTGGACTTTTGGCAATTTAAATCACTAAATTACTTGAGTAAATAATACTGGAAATCAGTTGTCACAATGTTATCTTAGTATTAAGCTACACGAGATACTGAGTTGTAGTATTATTAGCATACTTGGCTAATAATGCTTAGCCTGGCAATGCTAATCTCATTGGTTTTTGACTTGCAACTGTAGTTTAATTCTACTGGATGTTTTGTCAACTAATGATTCTAGTTTTGACTTCCAGGAAAAGCAGAAAAGATTCTGATGGTAGAGGAGTTGAAATCCCGCAGGGATGGGAAAATCTGTCAACAGGACGATTATTAGTCATACACTCCACAAATCTGGACTTAATGGAAGTGAAAAACCACATATGAAAGAAAGGCATAAGTCATCTGAAACACACAGTAAGCATATCATAAATTGGGTCAGTAAAGACCAAAAATGTGTTTCTTTTTTGTTCGAAACGCAACGCATGGGGGAAACACAAAACTCAGAATCCCCAAGTAGTGAAACATAGTGGTGGCAACGTCATGGTGTGTGAACACATTTCTTAACCAGGATCGAAAAAGCTGTAAAAGGTTGTGTAAAGTTGGATGTACCTGCATACAGAGTTATTTTGGAACCTGTTAGAGTCCGCAAGACTTAAAACCAGATCAGAAACTCACTTTTAGCAAGATGAATAAAATGGAATGGTTTGAATTAAAGACTATTTAGGTACTCTTCAATTCAGTCTATAACTAAATATAACAAATAACCTGCACCAACACTTGGAGATTATTCTTCAGAAATGCACTCACTTTTGTTGACCTGAGTGCATATAAGAAGTGCACTTATTTTGTAATTATGTTATTTACATTCATTATTTTCATTTTGGTCAAACTCCAAATTTCAACACTTTACATTTTAAATGTAAAATATATTTAACAAAATGTTAAATATTAAATGATGTTTTGATCAATTACTCAGTGCTTTTTTTTAACCGAATATATTTTTACTCTTACTTGAGTTCTGCACTACTTAATATTCTAGTCACATAAAACGGACTAAACCTAGAAGTGTCTTGAGAAAATGTGTAAAACTTATACATATTTAAGATGATATTGCGTGTTTTATGAGTTTGACAGGGAAAACACTTTGTTTAAGCATTGGTTGGAAAGCTAACACTAAGAAATATTAAGGTAATTACTTCGGTCACTATCAGCCAACCGGAAACGACAACCATGTCAGTTGGTGGGAACCAACTGCCAAGCGGATGATGTTTCTTCATTTTCCTGACCGTTACCTGTCTTCAGCCGGCTCATCACTGTGATATCCCTCCGCCCCGCGCAGCCGGGAGCCCCGCCTCGTGATGCTTACACCAAGCCGGGGAGGAGGAGCCAGGTAGCAGACACTGACACGTAACAGTCCTGCGTAGAATTTAAGGAAGAAGCTGCATCTTTTCTAAAAAAAAACTCACTTTGATACAGCTGAGTCTCTTCAGACTTGATGAACTACCGAGCTGTCCCGTCCCAGAAGCCCCGTTAGAACGGCCTCTGGAAGCGACCGAAGCGGGACTAGCAGGCAGGAGCGGAGGGAGAGCCGACGTTTAAAATGAGATTTTCAGTGTTTATTTCTGTCCTGCGGTCGCTCGGCCCGGTGGTAATCGGCATTTCATTGGGCTTCACGTTGAGTTTGTTGAGCGTGAGCTGGACGGAAGAAGCGTGTCCCCTGGAGGGGAAGGAGGGCGAGGATGTGGCTTCGGGTCAGGATGGACTCCTCAAAGGAGCCCGAAAGCCCAGCTCCATTTCCACTGGCAACGATGTGGAGTTCGAAGAGGATTTCGAGCCAAGAATAGTCCCATACAAACAAGTCCAGCCGAGTGCTCCAAAGAAAGTTTTCAGGTCAGTTCAGGGTCACAGTTCATTCTGGATTTTCATACACGCTTCAAGTAATTTTACAGTGGGCTGTAATTTACTTAATACGAGGACTAGTTGATAAATCATGTCAGACCCCACATGGTGCAGATGTACAGGTGTCCAAGTCTGGCCTGTAATTATAGGAGAATTAAGGTAACAACAGGCTAGTAATAACCAGGGGCGACCCTAGAAAGTTTTAGAAGAGGTGGCCATATGGATGCCAGTGCCAAAACAGATGATTTTTAACTTTGTTTCCATAAAAAGTGGGATTAAAATGGCCATTATTAACTTGGTCTCACCACACAGTAAATATTCATAATAAGGTTTTATTGTTAACCACTTTAAACAGCAGTGTCAGTGAAGTCATTTTTTCATATTTTAGAAAGACAAAATAGGAGGAGATGTTTCTGAGCCTGTAAGCTAAAAAAATTCACAACAAAATGGATTCTGATCATCCCTTATTTTTTGTGCAAAGTTGTTTTGAGGGTGTGTTGAAGAACATTTTTAACTACTGAAACAAAACAACTTTAGTTCTTGTGGTTTTGAGTTTAGGGTAAAAACAGGAGAGCTACAATGTTATAAAAGTTATAAAAGCATTAAAATTTTAGAGGTTGTGATCCAACAAAGTTAAAAAAAAGCTACTTCAAAAACAGTGATGCTGCCAGGAGTTGCTCAACAAATGATATCTGAGGACTGTTCTGCAGTTTTCACAGTTGGAATAAATATCAGGTTATTTATTTTGTTACATAGTGGTGATTGTTACTGTAGAATCTGATATTTTAAAGTAGAAGAAGCACAAAATATTCTGACCCAAGAGAAGAATAATCAACGTGCATTTTTTTTCTGACAAAACAACAGAGTTAAGTTACAAAAGTTAAACAAATTAACAGCAGAATAATAAATCAACATGTGTTTAGTTGCTTTTTAAAAAAATCTGCTGGTCTTCACGTATGTCAAACACAGTTTTGTCGGCGCTTCAGCAATATATTTTCAACTTTTAAGCTGACAAATGTGTTGTTTCTGTTCGAATCCTTCTGCAAAGCAAACCCTCTAGTTGAATTCTCAAGATAAAGAGTGCAACCTTTTTTTATTTTGGTATCAATTATCTTATCAGCTAGTGTCAAATGTGTTTGAAAACGGTTCCTAAATTATACTGGCCACTTCCACACCACCAGGTTCCTTCTGCTCGCCTCCACCACTAGTAGTAACTATTACAAGACAGTTTATGTTATCTGTCCTAAATCTAATTAAAATATGAAGCAAACCGTCAGACATTTGTAGATGCTTATTAATACTAGCCAGGCTTGAGGACTGAAGCTGAGGCTGACAAGGTGCCACTGTATGCCCACACACTGAAGGATGTCTAACTTACATTTTCTGCATAAGCAGGCAAACATTTCCATGAACCTGTGGATAGAGACCTTGTTTGAACGTTAACCCTCACTCCCAAAAGTGGCTGAATTTTATTTCAGTCCCTTGAAATAGTTTTTAGGTTTAGGAGAAGGTTTTGCTAAAATTAAAGATGTAATTGTGTAAATTCCTTTAATTTATAGGCTGATTCTTTACAGAATAATAGGTAGTGGCATCTAATGATGCCCCTTCATGCCTGAACATTGCTATCTTGAAAAGTCTTTTATGTTCAGCTACTTAGATTAGTTTAGTTTTTTTAAAACTGTGAATTATGGAAATAAACGGCTATAAAAGGCTCATATTGCACATATTATTCCAACTGTAATATGATAAACTGTGGCCCCTGATCAAACCAGAATAACTCTAATGTTTCCTACTGCTGATCAATATTGTTTATTGGAGTCATAAAACCAAGTTTTTCTTTCAGAAGACCAAGAGTTGAACATTGAAAATTACTAAAAATTGAAATGAAACAAGCCCTGGTGATTACAACTTTATGGACGGCTCTCAAGTTATACCAGAAAAAGTCCAGAAATACTCATGATTTAGTTGCTTTACCTAACAACTTTAAAAAGATGGAAACCGAACCTAAAGTAATTTTATTTTATAGTTGTGTTTGTCATACATCTGATGAAAGCCATTATGGATAATGGCTTGTTCATGCAAGCAGTAGAAGTAGACCAGTTTTCCATTTAAGTTGTGAACTCTTCTAAATGCTACTATTTGCAGATAATGTTGCTCTATTATTAGATGAATCATCAAATGGGCATGACTCTAAACTGGGTCCTCAAAGATGCCATGTGGGTTAAAAAAGGAAATAAAGTTTGGCTGCGCTGCTGGTTATGATGAATCGCTTTGCGAGTTCTTACAAGTTTAAATTTCTAAAGAAGCAGTAATTTCCTTTGCTAGTGTTTCCATGTGTGTCACAACGATTGACATGTCTAGGGCTTCAGCCGAAGCTTGTGAAAACACTCATCCCGCTGATCTGGTTTTAATAAACTGAATGTAAGAGTTCATGCAGCCAGCTGTCCTGTTGCCTTCTGTTGTATTTTAGGTACTTTAGGAATCGGCTGGTATGAGGATGCCACAGTTTCAAGGTGTAAATGAGAAATTTTAAAATAAAAATGCAGAGCATTATCTGATTTTTAAATCCAAAAAACAACAATTAATCCTATTGTTGCTAAAATAGTGCAACATATTTATGATCACACTTTTTGATAATGTTAGGTACAATGTTTATTTGGCATAATTTTAGAAAAGTTTGCAAATAAAACCACGTTTTCTTTACTCCTCTCTCTTTTTTAAAAATTATTTTAATGTCCTTACTTTCTGTTTTAGTTTTGGATGATTTTCTTTCCTTTTATTTTTCTGTTTATTGTTTTTATGTACAAGAAGTGAAATGTTTTGGGTTTTATATTGTAATTATTTATGAAGTTTAGTTTATTTTGATCTATAGGTCAGGTGTAAATATAAGTGTTGTGCTTCTGCTAAGGTTCGACAATAAATCAGTAACAACATATGTTGCAATATATTCAATTATACATTGAATGTTCTATCAGACATAGATATGTCTGATGTATCCTATCAGACATATCTATATCGATATGTCTGATAGAATATTCAATATATAAAATATTCTCTGAACTCTGATTCAGAACTGCACAGAATTCTGGGGGATGTAGGCAAAAGAAAGACTTTAACCGCTAAACCTTTCACAGCCGGAAGATTGGTGGAATGAACTAACTCACGCCCTCTTTGGTTACCTAGCAACTCACTCATTCTTTGGTTACCTAGCAACTCACTCATTCTTTGGTTACCTAGCAACAACTTGAGTAACTTGCGCAGCAGCAGTTAAAGGTTTTTCCCACTGTTTCTCGTAGCTTTTTAAAAATAAACCACACCGACGTGGAGTGAGAACTGTGGATCAAAGTGGAAAGGTATCACCATTTTGTCAGTATTTCATATATTTAAAACAAAATACTGATCAATAATTATCTACATGAAACATTTATATTGTGGTGTATTTTTTTAGCCATATCGTCCAGCGCTACCTTCTGGCTGAACATTTTCAGTCAAGTTGTTTAAAATGTTGGAGCGTTTTGAAGTATTGTGATGACTCCCTAAATAAATAACAAAAATCAGTCAAACTATCAAACCGCTGTATTGATCCAGTCGTTCTCCGCCTTGTTTCTCAGGGCTAAGTACATAAGCACGGAGCTTGGCATGCGGGAGCGCCTGATCGTTGGAGTCCTGACCTCCAAAAACACCATCAACACCCTCGGTGTGGCGGTGAACCGCACCATCAGCCACCACCTGGACATCGTGGTCTTCTTCACCGGCTCCCGCAACCGCAAAGTCCCCCACGGCATGTTTGTGGTCTCCCACGGAGATGAGAGGCTGATCTGGAACATGTTTCAGACCATCAGGTATGTCTTAGACCACTACGTCAACGAGTACGACTGGTTCTACTTCGTTCAAGACGACGCCTACACCGAAGCCGACCGGATCAGAGAGCTGGTGGAGCACCTGAGCGTGGATCGAGAGCTGTACATGGGCAGTCCTGAAGAGTTCATCGGAGGGGAGATGGAAGGGAAGTACTGCTACGGGGGGTTTGGGTACCTCCTGTCACGCAGCTTGCTCCTGCGGCTTCAACCCTTTCTGGAAAACTGCAGGAACGACATCCTGAGCTCCAGGCCAGATGAGTGGCTCGGAAGATGCATCATCGATTACACCAGCACCAACTGTGTCAGTGAATATGAGGCAAGTTGACTTAAACTCACTCTTCTTTTCTTTTCTCAAAGGGGGGACCACCAGAGGGCGCTGTGGGGGCCTTAGAAAGTCGGAGAGAAAATGAGAAAAACATGCAAAAATAAAAGAAAGTTAAATCCCATAAGTTTCTTCAACATAATATTGGTTTTCTGTTTTTGATAACTTAAAAAAAATGTAAAAAGTTAAAATGATTGATTTTTAAATGTAAATTCTGAAATGAAATTTAAATTAATCAAGATGCTTTTCTCCTCAAGCCAGCATAACAAGCAAGAAATTGAACTTAATTGTAGAAACAGGGACATTTTTACAAGCATATAAACTTCTTATTCAAGTATCTTGATTGACAAGAAGTCATTGAAAATTATCCTGAAAAAAGAAGAAAGAAAGGCAGTGAAAAACGTGAAAGCCATGTAACATGTATTATAATAGAAAATATGCATAAAGCATATTAAACTAAACTAAAATTTCTAAAAAGAGAAAGACCAAATGAAGCCTCCAGCAGCCCCTCTGTGGGAATAAATTAAAATTTGATGTGATTAATATAAAATATAAGAAAGAGGGAATTGTGTTGACAAATTTAATTATCAGGTAACAGATGCAAAATTTTCTGCTACATCTAAAATCAGAAGGTATGAGGTTAGCATTTATGCTAAATGAATATAATAATTATGGAATAGTAAAAAACCGTCAAAATGTTTGTTTCTTTATATATACCCTGGTTTGAAAACAGGGTCCTGGTCAGAGGTTAATGCTTTTTGGGGAAAAATTTGCGAACTCCTTGCTTTCAACACGAACATGAAGGTATAAAAGATGTTTTTTTTTACATGAGAGCAGATGAAAGGAAGCAGTCTGTAGTTTAAACGAATGTTAAGCTGTAAAAACAAAGAAGAGTCATCTGGGACAGCTGGCTGCAGCGGGGGGTTCTGCTCCTCACAAGGAAAACATAACCGTCCCTGCAGAAATCATTACTTTGCACTAGCACTGACAGACAGCTCTATAGATCTGTAATTACGGCGCTAGCAAAGAGATGGTATTCATATTACAGAGGAGAGGGCTCGTGCCCTTTAACTCCCCGCTGCACCTGGGGCATTACGGGGCAGGTAAACAGGCACAGGGGACACAGCTGAGAGGTTAGCTTAGGTTCAATGGTGTGAAAATCCCCTGTGGGTCAACATGCTCTGCTCCTATAATGTCATTAGCATTTAAGGTCAAACAGGCTTTGTCCCAGGGCTTGCAGGGATGTTTTTTGTTTGTCTTTCAGCACAGTTTGCTTCAGTTATTCTAGTTTTAATGTTTTATTTACAAACAAATACAGTGCACTGCAAATAATTAGTTAAATATTTTTTAGTTTTTGCTTTTTTTGTCACACTAGTTTCAAAGATAACCTGAGTAAATACAAAGTTCAGTTTGTAATTGATTCAGTTTATTTGGGAAAAAGACTATTGAAACCAACCAGAAAGTAATTGCATCCCTTGGTAAATCTTGAATTAAGTGACTAAACACATTTATTTTGTTCAGTGTACATTTTTCATCCACATCGTTTCAGTAGAACCTGTGTGAACGCATGAAGTAGGCTAGTTTCTCCATTAAGGTGCCAAAACTCTGGGACTCCTCAAGCATTCATGAAAAACGGCTTCATAACGGTCTAATCACAAATTCTGCTCTGAGTCAGAAAATCCTGAAGAGTAGCATCCTTCAGGGCTCCAACGATTAATCGACTTAAATGTGATTAATCGATTACGGAAATAATAATCAACTAATTTAGTAATCGATTAATCGTTAACTGGACGATACAAAGTCAAACAATGTGTTATTTTTGCTGAAAAACATAACACAGTCAGAGCCAAAACTCTACAAAAACATTTTGCATCTAAGTTAAAACCCTTCTTTATCTGTAAACTTCTTGTATCTAAAACTACTCAGTTTTAGCTTCACCTGATTCAAATTCTGCAAAAAAAAAAAAAGTTAAAATAAAACATTTCCTATTAAACTCCTTTTGGTATCCATCTATTAATCCAAAGATAGTCCACAGATTAGTAGATAATGTTTTGTTTTTTACATCTTTTGCCATAAGTGACCAGGTGTACACTTAAAAAAAGGAATTTTCTTTTTTTTTTTTTACATGAAAAAGTAATTTAAATATTTGCATCTTTTAAATGTATTTTCAAAAAATGCTTAAGTAGTTAAATAACAAATCTGCAGAATGTGCCACTTTTTTTCTATTCGATTAATCATCAGAATAATTGATTACTATAATCATAGTTGGTTGCAGCCCTAATGTCCTTTAGTTCATGACCTTGAAGACCAGAAAGGCAGTAATCTAAACGTAAACCAGCAGATCTACCTCTGAATGGCTCAAAGATTAAAAATATATAGTGTTGGAGTGGTCTAGTCAAAGTCTGTACCTAAATCAGATGAATATGTTGTGAAAACCCTTCAGTATGGAGGAATTTTAAAAAATCTGCAGAGAAGACTAATTGGAAGATATTCCAAATGCTTGAAGGTATTTGTGGTTTTGTTTGATGATCTTAAATATGTAGGAATAAAAAAGCAGCTTATAAGGAGGCAAATAATTTACCAGAGCATGTTGTAACTTAAGTGAATTTGTTTTTTTTTGACTCACCCAACTGATATGTAAATGCTTTTTATTCCCATTTTTCCTGCTTGGCTGCTGGCCAAGCTGCAAGTCATCTTGTTGCACAATTGAGAGGGAGTAACTGGGCTATCAGAAGAGCCCCGAGCCAGCAGCACTCAACTTAGCCCTTTAGATAATGGAGACAAGCAGGCAGGGGGAAGTTAACAGGCCTGGAATAGTTGAGAAAACAGCTTGAACACAGAGCCAGACATCATTTTTTTTCCTGTACAAAGGGAACGCTGATGCCAATTAGGCACGGACAATGCTTCACTAAGTGTTGGGCTACAGGCTGTAAGCTGTTGGCAAACACTGGTAATAGAGCGGCCTCGCTGCTTAGCTAAGCGCTTCCTCCGTTCTTTCTTCTCTTAATGGCTTCATCAGATTCTTTTCAGGGGGTTTTTCAGCTGATTATGTCCTCAGCCACGTCTTTTGTTTTATTTCGAAGTTCCTGTGAATTTGTCAAAGAGCAAACATGGTTGCTAGCCCCGCAGTGAAAGTCAGTTTTTCTTTTTAGCATCACTGTGAAGCTTCAGCTCACTGAGCAAACTTTCCCGTGGAGATGAGCCTGATATGCTGTCTAGTTGGCACGAAATGTTTGAAAGGAAGTAACGCTCCATAACAACCAGGCCTGGAACGGCTTTCGGCGTATTTCTGTCATGCCATCACATCTCATGAAGAGTGCTCTTTGTTTGTCTTCTTTGCAGGGACTCGAGTACCACCATTACGAGCTCGGAAAAAACTCGGACCCAAATAAAGAGCAGAATGAGAAGTTCAAGAGAGCCCTGACTGTTCATCCCGTGTCTGACCCCGAACAAATGTACCGGCTGCACCGATACTTCTCCGAGATTGAGTTGCAGAAGACTTACAATGAGATTGCTAAGCTGCAGGTAAGCAGATTGCCAAGAGTCACAAATCACCTGCGAGTCAGTCGGAAATTCAATCTCGTCTTATCATTATTCCCCCCGCAAAACGCAAAAACAGAAGATCTGACTAGAATATCAGCAAAAAGATCCTTTATTTCAGTTCAGACATGAATCTGATTCACTGCATACAGATTGATGCATTTCAAGTGTTTATTTTTTATGACTAGGGCTGAAACGATTAATCGTGATTAGACTGTGCCATTTTTTATTCAACTAGTCATCAGAATAATTGATAAATTAATCGATTAACAGAAGTAGTTGCTAGTTGCAGCCCCGATTATGACTTTTCACTAATGTCAGCCCAAAATGCAGTTTCTCAAAAAAATTACAATTCTACATAAGAGAAGCAAAAAATAGTATTAATACAGAAATGTGAACCTGATGAAAAGGTCTGAGGTCTTTTTTATTTTTTGATATGTTACCTTGTTTAAGCGACGCTCCATTTAATAGTTTTGTGCTCATTTCAAACACTGTGATGCCATGTTCATTTTTAGATTTCCAAATGAAACCCAATCTTTACTTTCATCTGAAAGGAGAACTAAAAAGTGTTTTGCTTAAAAAAAACCCAAAACATCATGTTTCGTTTGTTTATTATGTTTGATAATCCTTTATTTGCAACTCAACTTATGAGAAACTTAATATTTTTAAATGTAACTCTGAAACTTACAAAATCCTTCATTGAGCAGATTTTTCTTTTGCTTTTTCTTTCCAATCAACTTTCCATGAATTTACTTCCTTACTACAGACTGTAAGAAGGTGAAGCAGTGACATTTTGCACAGTTTTGGCTTTGTTGTTTTTTTCAGAAATTGCACATTAATTAGTTAGCAATTAATCAATTTCTAAATTCGATGGCAATTATTTCAATAATCGATTAATCGTTTCAGCCATAATTAAAATAGACATATTTTTCAATGGTATTATCTTGTGTGTCCGCAGGCGGAGATAAAAAATGTCAGCGTTCTCGCTTTTGAAGGCAACCGAAGCGCCCAGTGGCCAGTCGGGGTCAATCCGCCTTTTGAGGCTAAATCTCGGTTTGAAGTTCTGAAATGGGAGTACTTCACAGAGGAGGAGATTTACTCGTGCATCGACGGCGCTCCTAAGTGTGAGTTGCGGGGTATCGATAAACTGGATGTGGCTGAGGTCATAGACACAGCCATAGAGGAGCTGAACAAAAAGTACATGCCCACTTTACATCTGAAGAAGCAGCAGCTGATTAACGGATACAGACGCTTCGACCCCACCAGGGGCATGGAGTACACCTTAGACCTTCAGCTGGAGGTCGTCAATCAGAAGGGTCACAGCCGCTCCATCACCAAGAGAGTCCACCTGGTGCGACCCCTGAGCCTCATAGAGATCATTCCCATGCCCTACGTCACCGAAGCGACCAGGGTCCACATCATTATACCTCTGACTGCAGAAGACCGCAGCTACATCAACCATTTCCTGGAAGTCTTTGCCTCCAACGCCTTTGAGACGAGCGAAAACGCCATCCTCACATTTCTGTTCATTTACGACCCAGAGGAAGCTCAACACGTGAACCACAACGACATATTTATCGACGCGAAGAATCAGATAAATGTTTACGAACGAAAATACCCCACGGTGAAAATCCCCTGGATCAGCGTCAAGACGGAGATACCGTCCCAGATTAAGTTCATGGACATCATCTCCAAAAAGCACCCGGTGGACACTTTGTTCTTCCTGGCGCACGTCAACACGAACATCAACGCCGAGTTTCTCAACCGCTGCCGCATGAACTCCATAAACAACTGGCAGGTCTTCTTCCCCATCCACTTCCAGGAGTACAACCCCGATGTTTCCTATCACAACCAGCCGCCCCCAGCCACAGTCGACCTGGTGAAGGACGCCGGACATTTTGACCGCAGGTCATTCGACGAGGCGTGCTTTTACAACTCCGACTACATGGCGACGCGATCCCGCATGGTGGCGGACGTCCAGGAGAACGAGGACATCCTTGAAAGCCTGGACATTTATGACATTTTTGTGAAGTATTCCGGTCTGCACGTATTCAGAGCTGTTGAGCCAGCGCTGCACCAGCAGTACCGCTACCAGTCCTGCAACCCCAAACTCAGCGAAGACATCTACCACCGGTGTATTCAGAGCAACATGGAGGGCCTCGGGTCCCGATCGCAACTCGCCATGCTGCTTTTCGAGCAAGAACAAGGAAACAGTACTTGAAGCATTTCACCTGCTTTATTTTCGTAAAACGGACTGAAGATGTTGGAGTCAGTTGAAAAAAGCAACAAGTCTTCCACCAGCTTTAAGTCCAACCCAACGGTTCTCCCTAAAGGCTGTTTGTCAGCTTTGTCTTTTTTAGCTAGTTTTGATAAACGGATGCAACAGAGGTTTATAATGAAACCAAACGTGTTAGCTATGCTGACAAATATAAAAATTGCAATAAGCAGTTTTGACCACTAGGGGAGGCATAGAAACCAGAGACTCGTGGCTTTGCGGTAGCTTTGAGGAGTTTGTGTCGTCTCCTCAGCATTCAGGTGGAAATCGCTACCAAAGACTGAGAATACTCAGGGGTAGGCATGGGCCGGCTGCTGTACGTCCAGTTTAAATTTCTTCCATTGAAATCTAACAAAACTAGTTGCTGCACACTGCCAGTCGGGTGGCTGAAAGAAGACCACTTCTTTTCTCTTGAGCCTATAAGAACAAATTTAGATTTGGAAAGTAAAGTATCTCCACCAAACACACTTACTCATAAATACAGTTGGCAACCATCTTTAGTCGGCAAACATTGGACATACATTGACTTTTTAGGACTGAATTGAAAAATGTATTAAAATTAGAAATTTTTTTAGGCTATTCAACTAAATTTGGCCCAAACAGATTCTTAAATTAAGTCTTTGCTGCCCATCTTTAGGTATCAGTAGATATGTTTGTGTTGACATATTTTCACTCTATTTATCCATATTTTAACATTGTTTACACCCAATCCAATGTCGTTTATTCGATGGAAATGTGTTTGGGACAGAGTGAAATATTCAACCTGACTACTGGAGCAGAAAGGCATAAGTGGCAAGGTTACTTGAAAATTACCCCAATATTTATTCATTAAATTTTTATGTTAAATTCAATATTGCAGTTCACAACAAACTATAATATTTTATCTCAGTAGGAATTAAAGAAATGCAATAATGTTACATATTTTTTTTCCTTTAAATATTTTTCAGATGCTGTGAGAAGACCGGCCCATGCCTAGTTAGGAGTAATTATGTTAATTGGTCACAATTAGAAGGAGGTAGTTTCCTTTTGGGAACATTAGCTTAGATTAGCTGAGAAAGCTAACAAACATGTCTTTTAAAAGTATTAGCACCCCTTGAACTTTTTTTTTGCATTTTTCTCACATTGCAACTACAAACTTTGATATGTTTTATTTAGATTTGTAGAATATTACATGGAGTGTACTGTATAACTGTGAAGGTTATGCATGATGCTTCTACATTTTACTAGATTCATTAATAGTTAGTTTTAAAGGGGCGGTAAAACGTATTTTCCACACATTTTTATAACACCATCAAGTAATTATGTTACCTTCAGTTATTAAAAATGCAGCATATGAAATATTACACCTTGAAATTGGGTCTCTGTCTTTTTAAGAAACGCTTACTCTTCCTGACACTTCCCCTATATCATGTTACGACATTAAAACATAATAAAAAGCTAAAAAAAAGTTGATTTTTAAAATATTTTGTATCCTCTACCTGGTTTAACTGTAAAGTGTCCCCACAGCATGATGCTTCCACCGTAATGCATTTCGCTTTTAGTATTTAGTATTTTGGTATTTTTTAAGGTTTTATTAACACCAGATTTTATTTTTTTACATTTTATAAACCATGTACTTATTCTCTACTTTATCCCTCAAATAAAACGGTTTGTGGTTGCATTAAAACGTTCAAGGGGAAATAATGCTTTTTGGAATGTGCATCTTGGTTGTGTTACATTCTGATGAATGAAATGCTTTTCGTTTGGATAGAGTGAGCTAATGCAGTAGGTATGTTGGGTTTGGAAACCAATTAACCAAAAACAATAAGCGGTTTGTAATTAAAAGATTTCATTGCTGCTTCTCAGAGGGGTTTGACTTATGAGCAGTGACTGGTTTGCTTTTTGAGGATGCCCTTTGATTTAATCCGTATCATTAAATTGGAAGTTAATGTTTTATTTTATTTCCAACGGTACATTGCACCACTGCTTGTGTGCCCCAGTTATTGCACTTTTGATACTTAACTGGTTTGAGTATTCACAGAAGTGTGTTTGTATAACGTGCCTTGACAAAGACGTTTCATATGTTGGCTGTCTTGTTTTATATATATATGTATATATATATAAAAAGTGGTATTTGTTGAACTCGTATGGCTGGGAGAGTGGAGCTTTCTGTGTGTTTATAACGCCTGCCACAGCTGGGAGACTGAAGTGGGGTCTCGGTTGAGTTTTTATTGCGATCTTGGACATACCATGAACTCGACCATCTGCAGGCTGAACGTAACGTGTGCCTCGAAGCCAGGAGGAGCTCTCTGGAAAGCATCTGTTGGGTTTGATTTATGAAGACTTGACTTACATTTTTTTTAATGGTACAAAACAAACAAGCCCTACGAATAATGACGTTGTTACTGTCTGGATGTCGGGATATATTTTAATTACATTAGAAATATTTTTCTACATCAACAGAAGCAAAAATTGGAGAAGGTTTAGCTGTTCCAAAGTGCTTTGGATGATTTTTTATTTTTTGCTAAATATGGTGTGCTTGAACTCCAGATGTTGTGAAATGCAGTAGGAGGTTTCTTCTGTCTCTGAGCAGTAATGGATGTATTAGTGCTGGACAGCAGTTATTTATTAGTACATTAAAATGTGCAATATTACAGATAACACAGCTGGACAGGCAGCTTTTAGGCGACGGGATTTTAAATTTCAAAGACATTTTTGTTTCTTCAAGTGCAGCGGTGTGTATATCACAGTACTGTTCATGACTCGTACCTTCTGTTTGAGGCAGAGTAAATACACTGTAATTTCGCTGACAGGCCCTTTTAATGTATTTTGCTCGCTGTAGACACTTTTTCATCACATTTGCTTTGAAATACATAAAACCGAGGCGAGTCCTTTTATTTAACTGTAATTGGATTTAATATATATGTTGGAGACACTACAGCCGCCGTGGTGGTCCGCCGCGTTTCTTTTCTGTTTTATTCACAGTGTGAACACAGATCATTAAGTTCATTTTTATGTTGATTTTTTTATATACATCTTATAACTTGGTGTGAATGTTTTCCTGAAGAGTCTTCCAGAGAAATCACTGTGAAATAATGAGGTTGAGATTAAAATATGAAGTTACTGAAATGTGCTGTTTTCTTGCCTTTCTGTCAGCATGAAAGGTCTGGATCACAAGTGTCAAACTCGAGGCCCGGGGGCCAAATCCGATCCACCACAGCTTTTTATGTGGCCCTGTAAATCCTAGACTAAATGCTAAATGTGCTTAAATATTATTTTATCAATCAAGTCAATGCAGTTTTTATCTGTTTACTGCCAAATTATGTCAATCAGTCCCTCCGTTTTTTGCAAATTATTGTGGAAATTCATGCAAAATCAACAAATCCCCACACTTTTTTTGCACTAATATTTAAGTGGTAATTTATTCTAAAACGTTCTTACTTATACTAAACAGCTGTCTCGGTCTTAATTAATGTCAGCTTATAGTCCGTGATCTGTACAGTGAGTAATAAAAAGTCACATTTACCGTCATAAATAAGTGCAAATATTTCCAAATTAGTACCACAAACACTTTGATTTTTATTGCAAAAAATCACAAAACAATCGTAAAATCCAGGAGGGACTGTAAAGATGTTCCATTTTATTTAATTTTAAGAATTTATTGATATTTTAACAGTTCGTGAACGGGTTTTGTCAATACATTCTGGCACAATTGGCCCTTTAAGAGGATTTATAATCTTGATTTGGCCCAAATCGAAAATGAGTTTGACACCGCTGGTCTAGAATCAAGTGAGGCGTCGGATTAATTGTCCTGTGTGGCTGGACGAAAGCTCCTTAGGTATTTTTAATGATTTATTTATCTGTCACATCACCTAAATAACAGTATTTTCTGCATTCATGACATTCTTTGTACACTCCATTTTTAAACATCTTTCTACAGCAAGTTATGTTTTATTTTACCGTTTTTTGTGGTCCTAAAGTCATTTTAATATGTTGAGTTCATTCCACATTTATTTCCACAAGGAGCTGAAGTTTTCCCTTTGCACCCCATTCACTGGTTTGTACTGTTTTCAGACACATTGGTACTTTTTAAACCAAAGCGGTACATTTTGGTTAATGCACATGACGTGTAATTGAGTGCTGTAATTCTCAATAAACTGTGAATCATTGTAATTTTTCTAAATAAATAATTTTAAATATTTGTGTGTTTGTGTGTCAAAATTCAAAATAAGAGCTGTAAAAATGGCATATTTTTCTGAAAAAGATTTATTTTAACATATTTCTGTAGAAAACATGAAAATAAAGATAAAATATTAGTTTATATATATATATATATATATATATATATTTATATGTAATAGGGTTTTGTTTTAACAATATTATAAATGTGAAGTTTATCAAAATGTATTTTTTTTATTTATTTTGTTTAGTCAACAAGTTGTTTCTCCAGACATTTATTGGCGTTTGCTCTTGGCAGTTGGTGGTTACCGTAGCAACCGGTAACTGATGGCTCCTCCCCCTTTTTTCAGTTGCTGTTTGTAACTGAGGGGCAGAAGCTGCTGGACTGATGTTAACCACCAACTTGATTTCCTCTTTTGTTAGAATAAATACAGAGAACCTGAATGTGTCTGTCGTGAAGTCGACCTACTGGACCTGAGACGAACACAGCCGGGTTACACCTGGTGCCGTGACCCGGATTTGAATCGGGGGATTGCTGCTCTGGAAATAATTAAGAGCCCACTGCACTGAACCCCATTGAAAACCTCATGGCTATTTCACCAAATACTGATTTCTGAACTCTTCCTGAGTTAAAACATTAGTATTGTTTTCTTTGCATTATTTGAGGTCTAAAAGCACTGCATCTTTTTCGTTATTTTGACCATTTCTCTTTTTCTGCAAATAAATACTAAATATTTGCTTGCAATATCAGAGACATGTTGTCAGTAGTTCATAGAATAAAATAACAATATTCATTTTACTCAAACATATACCTATAAAAAGTAAAATCAGAGAAACCGATCATTTTAAGTTGTCTCTTAATTTTTTCCAGAGCTGTATGTGTGTAGATTTTCATTTTTTGCGTTCTACCCACAGATTTCATTTTGTCCTTTAGGTGTCAGCACAAGTACGTGCTTCCTCCAGGTTTGCACTCCGCCGGTGACTGCTGGTTGCAAAGATGAAAACTGCAACTGGACAACATTTGAGAATCCCCAGTTTTATTTGACATAAAAATGTCATATTTTTTCTAATCCTCTGTCCTGAGCAGGCCAGTTCTGTCAGATCTGACATTCTCCTGATGTGTGGGTTGGGTTAAAAACAGGGAAAAAATGTTGCGACCTTAATTACAGCTTCAGTTATTTCGAGGGTCTATGTGCACTACCCTTAGGCATGCTGTAAAACCACATAACTACAGAGCAGCAAGGTTTTAATTGTAAGTCATTATTTTGTACTTCGTTTTACGCCGAGTCCCAGGACTTTCTCCTACCTCGTGGGCAAGCAGTCTCAAAGTCGACTGGCACTGTAAAACTTTCTATATATGTTTTTTATTTTATTTTTGTTCACTTGGATGGCACTGAAACAAAACTGGTCAGATTGTAGAACATATTTTACATTTTAGAGGTTTTAATAACTTGTCCCAGACGTTATTGCGATAAACGATAATATTGGAACATTGGATATTATTGGAACCATTTTCCAGTATTGGTACTGGGTTAAAAATGCAAGAACACATTTTTAAAGATAAATAAACTTTAAATTATAATGAACATTTAATACTGGAACTGGAAAACATTTTAAATAAATAAAACATCATAAACAACAAATAAAATTATGAACAAAATTGTCCTTCAAAAGAGGGATAGTTGAAACCAAAGCATCAGACTGAAGACTTTTCCCATCCAATTTTAGTAAAAAGAAAGAAAAACGA